TGGGAAAACTTGCTAAAATCGACGAGAACAAGCTGAAGCGAAAATTAAATCGAAGAAACCGAAACACACAACGCCGTATCGTTCATAGCATCGAAAGTAATAATAAAAATTAATCTAAAAATTCAATCGGATGAAATTTTGGAATTTCAAAAACAACCAAAGAAGATATGAGAGGAAAAATATGTAGACTAAAAGTCAAACATGTCTAAGGACACGACTCGACAACTAAATTTGCAATGATAAAAATAGATGATTGGATATCAATAATGATAATAAGACAATGAGAGACAAAATGATAGCAGTATGATGGAATATAAATATGATAAAATGCCACAATCTGAAATATAATATCAAGATATTAGATGAAAAGAGCAAGAAAGTTTGTAAGGAAAAAAATATATGAAGGTATCAGAAGGTGAAACTATATGTTTGAAAAGACAATGGCAAGAACGAATCATCCTTGAGTAGTATAATGAGAAAATCAAGAAAGACGAAATAATGAAGAAGCTATTGAAAATGAGTTTGATGACGTATCATTGTCTACACGTGGTTAACAAAAAATCATTGAATAAAACTCGATGAAGTTCCATAATGATAAAGTATCAGTAGCTATTATCAGGAGAAGAGTATGTGATTGAAATGATCATGAAAAAAAATGGTCTGATGTGAACAGTAAGAACAAAAAGAAAAACATAACAATGAATTATCATCAGAAATTAATCTGATTCAGCTCCATAGTGAAAAGAAACATAAGCACCTATCACAAAAAAAAATGTAACGTAAAGAAAAAAAGATGGATTATCTGACAATGCCAATGAGAAGAGAAATGATCTAAGGAGAACATCAAAATAAAATAAGCAGATGCAATTTTCCAATGTAGAACAGTAGGACTGCCTTTTGTACGAACAATATATCAGTAACTGAAATATTAATGAAAAAATTATCGAGTTTCTGTTGATAAGACTGTTTGTTAAAATGAAATTCAATACCTGCAAATAATCATTTGGATGTAGCTTTGACACGTTTTCGTTGGCGAGTACGTATTCGTTCAGATATTGTTTCAGAAAATCTTTCATCTATACATGCTTATTGGATGAGATAATTGAAATCCAAGAAATTTACTTACTTTCTGATGACTCTGTATCATTTGTTGTTTTTCTTTTTGCGTCGTGACTGTTACTCATCTAAAATAAAAACATATTATGCTTGACATGAGGATTATATATGTTTTTAAGATTCATTCGAAATTCATTGTAGTTTTGATAAATTCTTACGTTTGTACTTTCATCATCTTGTGTTTCACATTGCTCTTCGATGATTTCTTCGTGCGGTACGACTAGTTGAGATACAATGGATAGGCTATCGTTACTAACTAAATTGCATAAGAATTATCGCATAACAATGAAAATATCAAGAATCAGTTGAAACATACCTTCAGAAAAATTATGCAGTAAGTCCAAAATGTTTGAACTTAAATGTTCTACATTGTCTTCATGTTGTTCTGGATCGTTGGTGTGATCATCGTCACTTGATGTAATATTTTGGCTACAACTGGGATCCTTTTCTTGTGCCGATATTGAACATGTACGACCTGCAATGATTAAGGAGATCAATTGTAATTGCTATATAAAAGAAAAATATCATTCTCTTACTCGAAGCTACATGTGGATTTGCAAGCACATGACGTTGGAAAACTGATGAAATATCAATATTTAAAATTTGATATCGTTCAAGACGAAGAATATCCAACACTTCTTCACTTATCACACCTGCGCTGTGAAACGATACATTACTACAGGAAGCCAAGTACGTATTTTAGTTAAGCCTTTCGTCTTGAAAATTAGCTAAACGATTGATGAATACTTCTTTTGACTCATCATCATTACAAGGTATCATTTTAATGTAAACAGTAGCTTTGGTTCTTCGGCAAATGAGACCGTCAGCTACTGCAATAAGCAAGCCATTATGCACTAAAGGCTTTAGAAAATTTTTTTCTAATATTGAACTGGCTTTTTTCAGGGAACTGTTGACATAGAGCCCACTTTTGATAAATACTAAAGAATTATGTAACAAGATTGAGGCTTTATAGCTATCACCCTTTCGCAGCATATTTTGCTGCTTTCTTGTTAATGGTAAGCCTGTTATCTGGCCATTGTTCAATGAAACATTATTATTCTTTGAATCAGTTACTTCAATATTTTCTTCACCTGCAATATGTCGCACTGTTGTTTTCGCCAATCGGTTCGTTAGAGTGAACCAATTTTTTCTATCTTCAGCATTTAGTTTCATTAAAGCCATATATTGTGCTACATTCTGGACTGTTACATCATGAGCTCGCTTGCAAATGTCTGTATCAATCATCAACCGCTGCTCTTTCCGTATATACAAACCATATTTTTTTTCAGCAATTTTGAAGGCACGATGGAAAAATTCCTCATCTGCTACACCTGTGCCGAAAGTAACGTATTCTGCTACGTATTGAGCTATCATATTAAATGCTGCCTCGATTAAAGCACATAATCCAGTAATTCGATAAGAAACAAGTGCGCTTTTATTTAATCGAGCCGAAACGTTGTCCAGCACACCTTCTTGACTTCCTAAAATTGTAAAACCATATTTTACATCTTAATTTACTTAAATAAAATCAGCTACTAAATCCGCTAATATTCTTCGCGCTCTATATTCTACTGAACTCATTGAACTCCACAAACGATATTCATTACACATACCAGCAACGCGGAAGTTGAAGGATTGTTCAGCTAGAATCGCCTTGCCTTCAGGTTCCAAGTCCAACTTCAGATCTTTGAAGAATCCACACAGAACACCAAACTGCTGTATAGATGGATACTGCAAAAAGTCTACAGATTCCACGCAGTTTTCATTTGGAATCGGTTCACCATCTATCGACCACAGGATGAAGCGTTCAAATAAAGCATCAGCTGCCATGGATGCTGCTTGCCTAGCTAATTCAGCAGCTATAAAATCACCAGTCGATGCCCCCTAATATAAACGCTTTTAGAGAAAAACTTTCAAAAGAAAAATATTGGAAATACGTACGAAAATATTGAGCTTCGAACCAGTGACATAAATTGTTTCCTTTTTGAGGATTCTCAAAAAGTTATCAGGTTTTTCATGTAACGTCATTAGCGTTGAACGAAACGGATCAACCCGATACGGCATCATATCAATTGGTGACGGCAGCAGCAATCCCAACGACTTCAATGTGACGTCGGCTTCATGCAAATGCATCGTGCGCGTACGACCCATCAAATTGCTTAAAACACCAGCAGCTGTTCCATCATTGAAAACAACTTTCTGATGTACATGTTTCATTTTTATTTTATTTCCAGGAATTGTTGCTGTTGTGCTAGCACCATCAAATTCAACGCCTGCAGCAATTTCATCTCGTTCTACACTCGATTCGTCTTTACCAGCAACTTCAGCAAAAAATGGTGCAGCAGCTTCAGCCATCAGTTCCGCTAAGTCAAGAATACTCGACTTGCTGTAACCTGAAAATCAGGAAAAAAACTACTGTTGCGAATCGATCTGAACACTTCCAAACATAAAACATACATAAATAATACAAGAAATTCATACTCCTAACTATGCAATATCAGAAAAAACAAAGAGTAAACCAAACAATCAAGAACAAATTCAATCTCGATCTTCAATAGTACAACATCTACATTTCCAAACTACATCTCAATCAAACAATTCTATCTTCAACATTAGCTGATCATTTTCATTTCTCTCCTTAATTTTTCTCGGATAACTAGTTCTTGTTGACAATGATATATTTGAAAGCATTACAGGTGAGCAGCAAATAATACGTTGTCATTTCAAATTTTCCATTTTAGATATTATATCATGTACATATGAATACTCATTATCAATCAGACATATCTATCTCCAATATAACATACTTGCTGCTAATTTATTTGATTCATCTTTTTCCTCAACATTCATTCATGACAACAAAAAATATTCAACCGCGAATTCCAACAGAGAATAGAACACTCAATTTAGACTTCAATGTCCTGATTTTTCATAAAATTCCATGTACATAAAAGACTACCGAATATCCAACATATTTATCAATCTCCAACATTCTACATTGATCGCTTATTTCTTTAATTAATTTTGTTCCAATCATTTGTTCATGAGGAAAAGAATATATTAAAAAAAAACTCTGACCGACAATGAGATAATAGATTCACAGTTCAATGTTTCAATTTTTCATACCATAAGGTAGACAAAAGAACTGAATATCAAACATATATGCTCATCCACAACATACAGTCCTGGCAGATTTCTTCTTTCACTCTTCACTTTTCCAATCACTTCTTTCTATCAACAAAAAAAAATGAATCAAATTTCAGCGACAATAGAATAACCGATTCTGATTTCAATGTTTTTATTTTCTGTCGAATATCAACCACTCATGAAAATTGAATATATCTATCTGCAACATTCGATTCAGTTTGGTTATCTTTCGTTATTTTTTTTTCTGATCAATTCTTAGTATTGACGAAAATAGATTGAATGAAATTCAAGTTAGAATGAAATAATTCACTATCATTTTAATCCTTTCATTTTCAATACAATATCAAGCACACATGAATATTGAATATTAATCTTAGATATATTTCTTCAACATGAGATCGTGTTAGACAATATCTTTCTTTTTTTTCTGATGAATCTTTCCTATTGAGTAAAATAGATCAAAGAAAATTCGAGTGAAAATGAAACGATCGATTGTAATTTCAATGTTTTGATTTTTCACATAATATGATCTACATAAGAATACTGATTATCAATCGTATATATGTATCTGCAACATTAGATTCTCTTAGATTGCATCTTTCGCTATTTGTTTTCTGATCAACTCTTAGTATTGAGTAAAATAGATCAAACGAAATTCTAGCTACAATGAAATAATGAATTTTAATTTCGATGTTTTGATTTTCAATAGAATATCAAGCACACATGAATATCGATCTTACATATATTTCTTCAACATGAGATCGTGTTAGACAATATCTTTCTTTTTTTTCCTGATGAATGTTTCCTGTTGATTGAAGTAGATCGAATAGATTTCGAGTTAGAATGAAATGATCGATTGGAATTTCAATTTTTTGATTTTTCACATAATATGTTTTACATAAGAATACTGATTATCAATCATGTATATGTATGTGCAACATTCGATTGAGGTTGTTTATCTTTCGTTATTTTTTTTCTGATCAATTCTTAGTATTGACGAAAATAGATTGAATGAAATTCTAGCTAGAATCAAATGGATATTTGCTGATTCTCTGTTTTTGTGCCTCTGTAATTTCCGGCTGTTTTAGTGTGTTTCCTGATTTATATCGAGGTTGTGATTAGAAGAAAAGCTATGTAAATACTCTTCGATAGTTATATCAAGGATTAAAACAATTTTCGATACATAGCTTAGAAAGCAATGGAAAACTGATCTTCAAAAACTCGCATAGATTGTATACCCTGATGTTTAACGTGGAAAGGTGAAGCTATGTGTTATTATTTCTTGCTATGTGTTAAAGAAAATCATAATTCGAAAAAAAGTGACAAGGAAAGATAAGAAGGCTGATACTGACCAGAACGAGCAACGATAATGTTGAACAGATTACAGGGGACCCTGAAGTGTGATGAACGGTTGACATATGTCGAGCGTGAGGTGCTTGCTACACCATTAATTAGAGATATTGCCATGGCATGAGCATCCACTTGATGATACGATGCTAACTGACGACAATATTGTGCTGTATCAGTTGAAAACCATGTTTCAGGTTCGACTCTGAGTTTGCACGCAACCTTCAAGTTAAATCGAAATCTTTCCATCGCATTCATTGTGAATAATAGGAATTACAAATCTGAAAGAAAAATCGTATATTTCATTAGATTATCCCATTGGAGCAGTAATTATAAAACTAAAATCATGTTTTTATCCAAACGAATATGGTAAATTCTTATGATACCGAATAACTTTGGACCTGTTATATTGTAATTGAAACCGACAGTGATATAATAAACAGGATATACTATCAGCATTGTAAAGTATTGGTATCTAAATAATTCATACTCTGAACAACAACATACATATAGTGTAGAATGAGCCCATTAACAAATGTGAAAGATCTTCCCTTATGATGGTAGGATTAATACATTATGTTAGTGAAAATATCCAAACAATGGATAAAAAATGTTCACTTTTACAAAAGAAAAATATTTTGACCTCTACGTTGCAGCTTACACATTGGAACATATTTAATTATATGGACTCTATCGAGTAGAACTATGGTTAAAACTTCATGCTAAAAGATTTAATTTCTCCTTGAGAAAAACATTTCCCTATATATTTTAACCATTTCTGCTTGAATTAAATGTTATTGTGGTTGAACAAAAGCAATTGATATATGTGTGCATATATATATATGAATTCTTTTTTTACATTTCTCTTTGTGAAAAGCATTTCCCTATATATTTTAACCATTTCTGCTTGAATTAAATGTTATTATCGTTGAACAAAAGCAATTGATATGTGTGCATATATATATATGTTGTAGGCAAAATTAAAATCCAGTCAAATTTGAAATTTGACTAGGCAAAATTAGAATTAGAATTCTGCCTAGGCAAAATTCAAATTTCAATTTTGACTGATATATTTCCAGTCAAAATT